ACAACAATATCCATTTAATTTTTTTATTAGACGGCTTAAAACTAATTTAGCTGCAGCTGAACTTAGCCTCCTAAAATCCTGTGTCCTCATATGAGGACTTTAGGTTTTGGGCTCCCTGCACTGTATACTTCATTCTGCTTAACAATTAAACCTACTGTCCTCATTAGTGGGCAGTTGCCTGTGCCCTCCAGGGTCACTGTTTGACCAGCCCTGTAATGTCTGTTTCTACTTTGTTACACATATTTTTCATAAAGTACTTCCTGTTCAAAGACAATGCTTAGGTTTTTATTCTTAAAATAAAAATGAGAAAAAGCTCAGGTCTTGGGAGTTTAGGGAAGCATTTTTGCATGAAAGGAGAAGTTTGGATTTGTTCTTAATTTCTTACAATTGAGCCATGCCTATGAAGGGAATGCTTAATTGAGATGAGGAATGACAGCCAACAGCAAATACTTCACTGTACACATCACATTTTGGCATTGAGATAGACCACATTGCTGGAAGAGGCATTAAAGTGAGTTTCCCCCTCACCGGGAACACTGATTGTGAGCGCTACCAGGAGCTACTCTCCGTGGCTCTGGTCAGCTCTTGTTTTGTTCTGTGGTGCTGCAGTGTTGTTTACAGAGGAGCTCCAGCGCGCCCTCTGGTGGGCAAACTATGCAACACTCATAGTCATATCGGCTGTTACAAACACTAGCTATTATCGGCCAACAGGGGTGGAAATTAACTGTTTGGCTCACCTGCCAATGGGACTGGTATATCAAAAAATCCACTGGCCAAACATATTTTCTACTGGCCAAAATAATAACTTTTTATGCTGCCTTTTTATGCTCTGCTTTAGCCTAATTTATGGCCTAATGTTAATTTTAAGTTGTTTTAATCTACATTGGTCTGTAATTTATTCATGCTAATTTTAAGTTTTAAGTTAAACAATAAATCATAACCATTCGTCCTTAAAAATTACTTTAGGTTGCAGTTTTTACTCTCACATCATAAATCATTTTTGTGGTTCGCACATATTTTGGGGGCAAATGCATGCTTGAACTTGAACTAAGTACGTCGCCTTAAAACCGTGTACAGGTCGTCACTAAGGACGTCGCCTTTAAGGACGTCGCCTTAAAACCGTGTGACACACGTCGTCGTTACTAAGTACGTCGCCACCAGTACACCATTATCAGTGTAACCTTATTTTAACTTTATTGAGTAAATTCAAATTGAAAAGGTATTAGCAACATTGTTGAGGTTGTACATAATGATGTTATTACAGAATTATTACAGAAGCATCTTCCAGAGTCCGAGACACCAGCTCTGACAATGTGCAGAGATTTATCTGCCAACGAGCTGTATCCTTTATACGGTTTATGAAGGAGTCTTATGTCCCGGTCACCGTCAATTAGAAGTATGTCGACCCTGCGTCCGTTTCAGCAGCCTGCAATTATTTGCACCTGTACGCACTTAAAAAAATTATACATTAAGGAAAAAAGTCCATAGGATGGGTTTCACAGCATGTATTTAAAGATATACCAGGTTACACCACAGTGGGCAACACTCACAGATAGTCACTGGAGGCTCGGCCGACCTCCGACACATCAAACAAACATTACAGACATTATCATCATTTCCGACATCCATTCAATTCACCTTCCAAAACCCCCAATGTCCCAGCAGTACAAATGTTTATTCAAATAACTTAAATTGTCCGGATTGAACCAGATGTCCTCCGCGGTAAGAAGAAGTGAAAAAAACTAAAAAGATACCAGATGAAGCGTGGCGAGCCGCCGCAGTCAACAATATTCCACAGTTAACTTACGCAACCTCGACACAGTTTAGCCAATGGGATGATGCAGTAGTCCAGAAAAGTCCAAGCATATAATCCAGCAACAAGAGTTTCTTTGTTACTTTGTTGAGTCCGCCAGGCAAACATTACACAGAGCCCACTAAAGGCCGACTGCTTCACCTGTTGCACTCTAGAGTTCCCCCCAAACGTCACTTCCCACTCTCCTTTTAAAACCTACCCCGTGGCAAAACAATAATGAGTGGGAAAAAATACATTAAGAAGGGTCCTTATAACAATCCGTGATACACCACAGGCTTTTTTACACGTGAAGGCAAAACCAATACACATAAAGCATGTTTACCAACACATTAAAAGCTGTACCTGAAGACAGAATAGGTGACTATTACAAACATGCCTGAAATCACTAAACTCTAAAGTATGCCTCATTAGGAAACAGGACCATGTTATACCAAACCTCAAGAAGACAAGAGGACTTTAGAGTCTAGTGCAGACTGCATATGAAGAGTCTGTTAGCAAAAACAGATAGATGCCATTCTTAACCTGTTGGGTGCTGCCTTTTTCCAGGAAAAACGCCTAAAATAACAAACCCAAAATGAATCAGGAATAGCTCCTCAACTATTTGGCCTAGATGCATAATTCTCGTCTCCTTTGGAAGATCAGAAGCTAATGAATGTAAATTCATTGTAAATTAACATATTTATTTTACCATTACAGACTAAATGGAGATGCAATAAAGAAAAATATGACAGTTTTCATCCTCATCTGGTAAAAAGCTATCTTTTTAATGCAATAAACCATCAAAGCCATCATAAGATAGATTATAATGCAACTGAATATCTTCTAATACACCTGGAATGCAATTGTAAATTATTCTTAAATAGTTCTTTATAAACCTTTACAGTGTGACCAGATGTTACCTGTCAGTTAATAGTTCTTTATAAACCTTTACAATGTGACCAGATGTTACCTGTCAGTTAATAGTTCTTTATAAACCTTTACAGTGTGACCAGATGTTACCTGTCAGTTAATAGTTCTTTATAAACCTTTACATTGTGACCAGATGTTTCCTGTCAGTTAATAGTTCTTTATAAACCTTTACAGTGTGACCAGATGTTACCTGTCAGTTAATAGTTCTTTATAAACCTTTACATTGTGACCAGATGTTTCCTGTCAGTTAATAGTTCTTTATAAACCTTTACAGTGTGACCAGATGTTTCCTGTCAGTTAATAATTCTTTATAAACCTTTACATTGTGACCAGATGTTACCTGTCAGTTAATAGTTCTTTATAAACCTTTCCGTCTCTTTCCAACTAGCAAGCCAAGCTAACTTCAATTAACATTAGCATTCTTGGCTAACAGGAGATGAGGTGAAACATCATGAAAGTTTACTCATAATGTTTAGCCACACGTGCAAGCTCTGGTGTGCCATTCCGGTTGTAGCAGGACTCACGAGAAAATACAACTTTAAGCAAAGAACAGGGAACAAATCTCTTCGAGACAGTCAGAACAGGAAGTGATAGAAAAAAAAAAAAAGCTTAACAAATGCACTTTTTCTTACTTTGAACATATCAAATATACAGGTGCTGGTCATATAATTAGAATATCATAAAAAAGTTGACTTATTTCAGTAATTCCATTCAAAAAGTGAAACTTGTATAATGTATACATTCATTACACACAGATGAAAAGTATGAACATGAAAAGTATGAGCATGTACAGCACTCAATACTTAGTTGGGGATCCTTTAGCCTGAGTTACTGCAGCAATGCGGCGTGGCATGGAGTCCATCAGTCTGTGGCACTGCTCAGGTGTTATGAGAGCCCAGGTTGCTCTGATAGTGGCCTTCAGCTCTTCTGCTTTGTTGGGTCTGGCGTATCGCATCTTCCTCTTCACAATACCCCATAGATTTTCTATAGGGTTAAAGTCAGGTGAGTTTGCTGGCCAATTAAGAACAGGGATACCATGGTCCTTAAACCAGGTACTGGTAGCTTTGGCACTGTGTGCAGGTGCCAAGTCCTGTTGGAAAATGAAATCTGCTTCTCCATAAAGCTGGTCAGCAGCAGGAAGCATGAAGTGCTCTAAAACTTCCTGGTAGACGGCTGCGTTGACCTTGGACCTCAGAAAACACAGTGGACCAACACCAGCAGATGACATGGCACCCCAAACCATCACTGACTGTGGAAAATTTACACTGGACTTCAAGCAACGTGGATTCTGGGCCTCTCCTCTCTTCCTCCAGACTCTGGGACCTTGATTTCCAAAGGAAATGCTAAATTTACTTTCATCAGAGAACATAATTTTGGACCACTCAGCAGCAGTCCAGTCCTTTTTGTCTTTAGCCCAGGCGAGACGCTTCTGACGCTGTGTCTTGTTCAAGAGTGGCTTGACACAAGGAATGCGACAGCTGAAACCCATGTCTTGCATACGTCTGTGCGTGGTGGTTCTTGAAGCACTGACTCCAGCTGCAGTCCACTCTTTGTGAATCTCCCCCACATTTTTGACTGTGTTTTGTTTCACAATCCTCTCCAGGGTGCGGTTATCCCTATTGCTTGTACACTTTTTTCTACCACATCTTTTCCTTCCCTTCGCCTCTCTATTAATGTGCTTGGACACAGAGCTCTGTGAACAGCCAGCCTCTTTAGCAATGACCTTTTGTGTCTTGCCCTCCTTGTGCAAGGTGTCAATGGTCGTCTTTTGGACAGCTGTCAAGTCAGCAGTCTTCCCCATGATTGTGTAGCCTACAGAACTAGACTGAGAGACCATTTAAAGGCCTTTGCAGGTGTTTTGAGTTAATTAGCTGATTAGAGTGTGGCACCAGGTGTCTTCAATATTGAACCTTTTCACAATATTCTAATTTTCTGACATGCTGATTTTGGGGTTTTCATTAGTTGTCAGTTATAATCATCAAAATTAAAAGGAATGAACACTTGAAATATATCAGTCTGTGTGGAATGAATGTAAACATTATACAAGTTTCACTTTTTGAATGGAATTACTGAAATAAATCAGCTTTTTGATGATATTCTAATTATATGACCAGCACCTGTATACCATATAGGAGTGACACAGGAAATAAATAAATCAAGGAATATATGTTAGTGATAACAGTTAAAAAGAAATGTACAAACAAAAGTTTTGCAATAAATAAATAAATAGCAATATACAGTATTTAATCATATCTGTTCATTTATTTAAATATATATTTATTTTCACATTTATTTGTATTCACATTTTATTCATTTCCAAATTTATTTATCTATCTTTATCTTTTATGATTATAATGGAGGCTGATGAAAACATTTGTCATTTTCCGTCTTTGCACTCAATGGCTGATTGATGTCAGAGTGTATTAAATTGATTAGATTTCTATACTGCTCTTGTTTTTGTCCTCACCAATTAATTGCACTGATTAACAACAAAGGCAGAAGTAGAAGTACAGATCAAACGATAGATTGGTCGTTGTTGTTTTCAGGTTCTTTCGGTTTCTCCAGTAAGAAATACGTGTTCTCACTGAGCTGCGTCGAACCTGCAGATCCAGAGAATAAATTACAGTCAACAGATTTTTTTGTCAGTTTAATCTTGGTGAAAATTTCTACCCTCTACTTCTCATTCAATATTTTTTATAGTACAGGTTTTTAAATCTCTTAAGTTGCTCCCCTTTTATTTTGTTTTATTCAGAAATTAAAATGCAGTGTGCCTTTTTACGGTTCACATGGTATAATGGTTCTTTGACCCAGTAAACCTACAGTATTGACAGAGTTCAAATTTAATACCGCACAAGCCAAAATGAGGAACTAATGGTTAAAGTTACCTTCATTATTTCCTCTGAGGAAAGTGCTGCCGATCAAGGAATATGGGGACTCATTAGGAAGCAATGTCTCTGTAAGGAAGAATTAAACATATTGAATGTAATCTGTATTTAACCATAAATACATGACCAGAATTACTGATTTAAATTAAAATGTGTTTAAATGTTGTTGAGAGCTCATACTTACCAGTCCTCCTTCCCCCTGGTGGAAAATCAGGGATGGTGCAATATGTGGGATCATTCGGATCTGATCCATCTATTAAAACATTTACCAACAAGCATTAATAACCAGAACCAAATTAAAGCCACTTGTCAGGCTACTGTTACACCACAGGCGTTGATACCCAATTACAATTTTAGAGCTTGCTTTAGAAAACTTTAAATATCAATGAAGGATTAATCCAGTTTATAAAGTGAGACAAGAAAGTAGTAGAAGATCCCTGGTTGAAGTCTGGTTTGTTTTAACAACGCTATATTTCATTTGCACTTGGGAAAATGTCCACCAGAAAAGACAATGTGCGGAAGAGCACTACATTCAAGAACAAGAAATATAAAAAAACATCACATTATGTAGTAAACATTACTAGTTACGGGATCTGTATGCAACACTTACAATAAAACTAAGTTGAATCGGATATATCCTGCAGTCATGAGGTCATTTTCTTGTTTTCTTTGTAATGATGAGATATGTGAGACGGCATATTAGGGCCATGTTTAATGTTCAGTTAGATTTTCTTGGTTGTTTTGTAAGACAGAGAATAAATATAAAAGCATCTTTGTGTATGAAGTTGAAAGTGCAAAATAACAGTCACACACCTTATAATAAAAAGATACATTTTTGCTGCAAGTCATATAAAGTCAGATATATAACAGGTTAAAAACTGTGTTTATCGTGAAGAAGATTCACGTCATCAGAAGAGTCCTAAATGTTACAATACTCACTGCACATGAATGCAATGACATCATTCTCAATCATAAGGGAAAAGGGAAGTTTATTTAAAATGTTACACTTCTTATTTCTCACCTCTTGCAGACTGAAACACTACTCCTTCCTGTATGTCATCATAGACAGGCTGCATTCTTTCACTTTCTGCGAAAAGAACGTCACAATATTCGTAAACCACTGAGTAATCACTGATTATCTGCTTTAAAGACTGATGACAAACAGGATGCTGCTGATCACATTGGGCCAGGTAATCATTTACATATTTAACCTCAATCTAGACTACACAACTTTCAGCGTCGACAGTTAAATTTTACCCATTGTTCATAAATGACCTACACAAATAGAAGCAATTGGTAAATCTGATAAAAGACTATATACGTGTATTTCAAAAGTACTAATGTTTTGAAAAATTAAAAAAGCAATGGAACAGCAGTGCTCAATGTAGGCCTATATACAGCTATTATCTCCGTCATCTCTTTCTTAGTTTCAGGTGGCTGAGGCTAAGCCAAAACTTCTGGTTGCAAAGCAGTTGGGGAGTTTTGGGTGGTGATGGCTTGTAGATAAGATGCTTGTCTATGATGTGGGAGACCAGGGTTCAATTCCCACTGTAAACCATCCGCCAATGTGTCCCTGAGCAAGACCCTTAACCACTAGTTGCTCCAGAGGCGTGCAACCTCTGACATAAATAGCAATTGTAAGTCGCTTTGGATAAAAGCGTCAGATAAATGTAATGTAATGTTTTGGTCTGGCTGCATCAATAATAATTTATAATATTATTCTATCAATAATGGAAAACTTCACTCTGTATGCCTTCTATTCATCCATTAATTGCAGCTTTTATAGTAGGACAACTTGATGGGCATTATCCCTTTCTTCTCAGCGTGAGAAATAAAAGATGTGCCGTGTGAGCGTGTGAGCTGGTTGAAATGCGTCTCATGGTGAATGCATAAGACTTGAGAGCCCTGTACTTGCATTAAAAACAAAGCAGAAAGGATTTTTGTAAAAGAGACGACAAATAAAATATATTTCAAATTGATTTAAAAAAACAACATTAACATTAAATAAACAGTACCTTGGGTAAAGTCAAACGTACTACAAGTTAAGTAATTTTAAGTTTGTCCTTTGAGAAAATATATAATATATGCTGGTCTCACCAGCATCGAAAAGTTTCACGTCTAATTTGCTTGATTCAATAGAAATACAGTTATGATGTTGAACAATTGCAATCTTTACAGTGCTGACCTTTAAAGAAAGGTCATAGAGTCCAAAATAAAGGAAGCTATCGAAGCTTAGGCTATTAGCTTTGTGTCACCATCTACTTTTATTGAACCTCCTCTGTTAGAGTATGAACTGCTCAGAGATGGTGGTTCACACAAAGTAGGGGACATGAGTCGATGGCACAAATCCATCTTTGGAATAAACTGTGAGAACTTATTGTCCCATTAGCAACTGAACTTAGCTAACAAGCCTAGATCTTTATTTTCCATCTTCCCTTAATCTTTATTGAATTAAATGCACAATGGTGATGAAAATGCCAGGGCGAGTGGGCCGGACAGCAAAGAAAAAATAAAAAAGCATCAAAAGCTTATGTGACTAGCAGGTTAGTGTGTTAGTGGTTAACTCAGCACTATCAGTTCACCAACTAGCCCTGTGGGTACATCAGCAAGTTATTGCACATGGACATTTACATATTTTATTGTGTACGACAAAATATATATCTTATGTACATATGTTTAATTATTAACTCATCTTCTTAAATGTGTGAAGAAATGACACTTTCCCACAATGTAAAGTAGTGAGTGTACAGCTTGTACAGTGTAAATTTGCTGTCCCTTCAAAATACCACATCTGTGTATATGTATGTGTCTAAACCGCTGGAAACAAAAGTGAGGACACCACTAAGTGAAAATGTTCGAATTGTTAGTGTAACCTGCTCCCAGGTGTGTTAAATTGGTGTTATTGCTCTCACACCCTCATACTGGTCACTAGAGGTTCAACATGGCACCTTTTGTGAGATACTGTATATACAGGATATGTATATATATTAATACTACATTTCCAGGACAAGTTTTACTCACCTCGGTTTTTAAACCTGTGTCTCCAAGTAAAGTAAAAGATGATGAGTTGGAGGAGCAGGAGGAAGGAGACAACTATTCCAATCCCCCAAAAAAGAAGTTGTTTCTGGTCTTTAGGAGCCAATGAAAGACAAAGTAAGAATTAATAACTTATTGCATGTTATACACAGCACGGGGGAGCAGTACAACACATTACAGACACAACACTGAACAAATATGTCATTTACAAACACAGCTGAGTTTGTCTTACAGCACAAATCAATATCAAACAAAGAGAGTATCATTATATAAAGTGCAGTAGTATGTTGATGTGCATAATATGTTCCATTGACTAGATTCTGTATCTATAGCTTAGACTTGATTGTTGCATTGTGTTTGTGTCAAATCTGATGTATGGGAGATTTAACAAACATTAATATCTGTTAAATATTTCCCATTGTCTTTCTCGGTACCACTTTCTTTCTTTACTGTAGTCTTACCTGGGTTTCTCTCTGATGCAGAGGATGGTGTTGTAGGTGAGGTTAAAGTTGTAGTAAAAATTATTTTTGTTGTTGTTTTACTTACTTTGTGGGGCACAGGGAATACAAGATAAAGTATGGCAATCCCTTTTTAACATTTTAACAGGATTTACATTAAATATAACCACAATGTATATAGAAACTGTAAAACCTTAATTCACGATATGTCCAATTACACAAACCGTTGATTTGTTTGGAGAATCTAAAGAAACGTGTCTGAAATCTGAAATTTGAATTCCAGATATCTCCAAGTTATGACGAATCAAAACACAAATCCAATCAATCAAACCTTTTTATGTAAAAACAGCTTCCACAACTATGTTTTGCAGATTTTCCATAACTCCTTTTATAGATATCCTAAAATTAGTCAGAACACCAGTTTGAGATATCCAGAAATTAGAACTAGTCAGAATTACTGTACATTCTTGCATTCATTTAAATGGAAGTTCTGTACCTGGTATTCACATTTAAAATGTAATTATTATTTATTATTAATTATTCAAATTAATTACATTAATAAATGCATGCAGTGGTTCATTCTTACAAGTCAAAATATAATTGAAGAAATGAATTAAGCTGGTCATGAATACATTGCGGATGTGTTTAATGTAAATACTGTAAATCTAAAAATATGAAAGGTCTTGCCATATTTTAACAGTGTAATACAGAATTTTACAAAATCATTCACCATGTATGAAAAAGGAACAACTTTTTTATTTCCTGTCTACCAGCAGTGTTCTCATGACTTGAACCATAGTAATGCAGAGTGTGTTGTGTGTTCGACTTCTCATGTTAGCCTGTGACCTGAAGTTTCATTTGCACGCTGAGTTAAACGTGATCTAGACTGTTACTGAATATCTCTGCAGCTTCTTCTTTAAATAACTGCTTTACACTACTTAAACATTTGAAGTGTTTTCTTGTCTCTCAGATTGATCACCTTCATAAATTTAACAATATAACATTTAGTTCTGTTTCATCTTACCTTTATGCTTCTTCTTTCTGTCTTTTTTGTTCGGATCTTTTTTCTTTCCTGTGTTTAGAGATGGTGTAAATAGTGCTGTTGTTGCTGCTGGACGATGCTCTGTTGGTGTTGATGTTGTTGCTGCAGTTTTTCTTGTAGGTGTAGTTGGAGTTGTTGGTGTTAAGGTTGTTCTGAGTGTTGTGTTGATACCTTCGGTATGAGATAGAGAAAAGTGTATTGCATTATACAGGATACAAAACTGCACTTTACCACAGAAAGTCATAAAAACGTGTACTCATTTTGAAATAGTGAAAAAGCTGTGATCATTTAGCAACAGTGTTCTAATGAATTCAACCAGTTGAATGCTGTTTACTTGACTGTTTAAAATTCATATAACCATGTGAATTTCATTTGAAGGAAGCATTAAACATGCCCTCTTAGTTCTTCTGCAGATTACAGTCATATTTATTATTTTTGTATGGAGTTGTTTTTCTGCATTATTTTTTTATTTATATAATACATACATAAAGAGTTGCCTTCTGTTCCTTCCAATCTGGTGTGGCATGAAACTAAAACATTAGTTTGAGTTTTAAAGGAATATGTAATGATCATATTATATATCGCAACAGTTGTCCGTAACTATGTTTCCTTAATGTGCCGATGAATGCCGATGAATGACGATTTTAAAACAGGAACAGTTTCCTGTGAACATTTGCTACAAACACCACTCACTCTATGAAATGATAAAACTGTAAACACTATTAAAACTGATGAGAGATAGTGCTGCAAAGAATTGATTAATATAAAATGTCCTTACTTGCCATAACATTACAGCCCAGAACATAGGCTAAGAGGCAGCTGCAGATAATCGCCCTCATCCTCACACACACTGACGTGACTGAACAGACAAACAGCGACCACAGAATCTATCTGAGCTCAGAACAGGAACTTAGCTTTCTGAGTGGTATAGTTTTTTCAATTTTTCAATTTCAATTTTTCAATTTTCAATTGCTTAACAAGCGTTTACCTAAACTTAAGATACTTTGTCAAAACTCTTAACACTCGCAACACACCTACCTCACACAATTAGCCAAAAGGTACATTTTCTGCCCAAAACCACATTTTGTTCTTTAAACACCAACAATTTCAAAATGCAAAATAACATTCTCTATATACACAAACTCTATCAAAACACAGCAAACCAGAATCAAAATCAAATCATTCTGTCAAAGCACCAGCCGCATATTACACCGACAGTAGCAATCTCAAAAAACAGCTGGCAGCTCTCACACGCATTTTCTTAAAGAAAGGCCAATTCTAGTCATATTATCATCATTATCTCTCTTGTCATAGAGTATGGTCTAGACCTGCCCTATATGAAAAGTACAATGAGAAAACTTTTCATTATGAAATAAAAACTTTACTGAACTGGTTTGGTCTCCATATATTCTTGAGCAAAATATCAGGCTCATGTTGACGGACTCTAACGAGCAGATAAAGAAACTCAAACTAAACAGAAAATCCATGAAAGAGAAGTGATTAAGACTTAGTGAAATAAGTGGATATTAAATATTGATAAATAAATCCAAGGACCAAAATTAAACTGTAAAAACTGAACCGTCAAACACAGCAGATCTGCTGACGAACAAAGAACAGCCTTATGTTGGGTAAACAAACGTTTCAGACTATATTGAGATAACAACTTGCACAGCAGCGGTTTAGATAGTGTAGCTTACTATAGAGACTGTTTAGAAATCTATCCACACACATACAAACATCACACTCTTGAAGACTCTTGGTGAAAAGTGCAACTAAGTGTTATTAGCTGGAAAAAAAATTTTTACACCTGCAGATCAGAGCAGTAAAACTTTGTCAATCTTCTTTGAAGGTATTTTACTGTAAGTATGCATAAAAAATGTGCAACAAAGCCAAATAGAACAAAGGTAAAAGTTTGTGTCATTAAAGCACATTTGTGTAATTACGAGACTTTAAAGGGGGTTTGATCAACCCACTGATAAAGTGGTACTGTTTTATGCCACCCAGTTTCACTCCCAACTCATCAAATTTTAATGCTTCAAAACCCCTTGGTGTCACTTTTTTACGTACTGAGTTTCCTTATAGTGTCATTTTTCAACGCTAGTAGTAGGCCTAGTATAAATAAGTCAAAGTCCGCATAAGGAGGTTGTTGGATGGTTGGATGGGTCAAACAAACACCAAGCGTCCATATGTGACGACTTGGAGGTTGAGAATGTTTTACTTTATCGTTTAAAGCAGGAACATTTCGATAGTTTTGTTGTATTACTACTGTCTTTGAAGCACATTTGTATTTCAGAATTCTCTGAAGGTCACTTCTTTGGTGTTTGCACTCACTGTCATCGCAAGCAGCATAAACTTTATGCAGGAAACAAAGTTGCACAGTGGAATATTATCAGACGGAAATAACCGCACTCAGACCACAGATCAGACTCTACCTGACTTTACTCAGAAATGGTGCAGCAAAATCGACAGAGGGAAGGATGTGGGCATCAGTAAAGTTATTGGTGTGATGTGCAGGTTGGGGTGGAGAGTAGGTGTCAAGTGTGACATCGTGCAAAGGAACTATAACAATGAAGTCTCCAGCATAAAGTCAGGCTGCACATCCCTCTGAATTTGTTATTTTAATATTAGAAAATACTGAAAATAGAGAAGCATTGTGTTGCAGAAAGTGAAACACAATAATGCTGATTGGCTGACGGTGACCATGCGCTTTGGAGAATATCTAAAGCTGCTATATATCAAGGATCCAAGGACATATGTCTCAGCAGGACCTGGAAAAACTTGTCCATGCATTTATCTTCTGTCGTCTCAACTACTGTAATGGTGTCTTTACAGGGCTCCCTAAAAAATATTAACAACAATTAATGACTACATGTGTGTCGCTTTGTGATAGAGCCACACAGAATTTTCTGCTCTAGTTGTTTGCTTTACTGGTCTGCAGGTTTCCTTTAGATTAATCACCGCGGATATAACTAGGCCTGTGTGGTTAACAAGCTGACACTATGCTGCTATGATGTGTGAGTCTGGTTCATGGTACCAGTACCGTAATAAAAACACATTCATTTAAGACAATGGAAACTGACCAGAGAGTATATTTTTCTCACCCACTTCACCTGCTCAGCAGCAAACAGCACAGAGAAAGGGAAGCAGACCGAAACCAGAGCTTAAAAAGAGTGAATGTTGCACACAAACACAACTCTGATGGTGTGATGATGTTTATCTTATCTGCTGAATGTTAAAGTTTTCTAACAACTTGAAAGGTGATAACATGTCTACTTGTGCTTAAATATTGTGAATGTTTGTTTGTGAATGTTTCTGTTTGAGCACTTAGCGACTTTGAACCTGGGGGGGACGCTGATGGGCTTGGTGGGTTCGGAGGCATTTGGTGGGTTCGGGTATTTGCAGAGACAGAAGATGGAGATTAGACTGGAGAGGGGAGATTATGAAGACTCGGATGCACAGTCAGATAAAATGTCAATAAAATAACTAGAAAAAAACCGACTACGTACCACAAAAATCATGCTATTGCATATAACCTGCTAGTTAATGTAGCCACAGTACAAATGTATTTAGTTATCCTAATGTTACACTTGTGATATTTCCTGTGTCTCACTTGGCCCTGACTCTCCCTGCAACAAATGATTGTGAACACAGAACTGTCTTCAAGTTTACACTCTGATGGCAGGCCATTGGACTAACAAAGTCTTTTTACTACGTGAGTTTTAGAATTTAATATGTCTAGTAGCTATCCATTCAACTTACAAGCTCATCCTCCTCAGTTATTTCTACTCCTGCTCCCGTGACCTCTGTCCTCTTCCTTTTAAAATACTGTAGGATGCTCATCACTGTGTGACAATTTTGGCTACTTTTAAACTGTTTATGGACACGTAACAGATTTTTAAGGCCAAGAATGGGGCGAACAAATGGCCCAGGAGTTTGTCCCTGTTTCAGTCCACTCTCCAGTCAAAGCATTTGTCAGGGCCTCTGTGTCTTTGAGGCCTTTATTCCTGTATTCTTGAGAATTTTATGCAAGTAGAGTACATCACTAAATTAATCTTTAAAACACTAAAACACCTGTTTAACTCTCCTAAAGTTAAGAAATCAACTCAGCTGAGTCCTTGAATACAATAAATAAATAAATGAGCCATATCATCTTCAGTCATACCATAAACTGGTGCTTTGGACTCTGTGGGCTTTGACTTTGATTTGCTATTGCCCTCATCTATTGCCCTATTGCTGTCTGTCCACTTGCTTTGCACTAGCACAGCCCATACAATCTGATCATTCCTAAACCATCTAAATAACCTTTCCAACGTTTATAATTATTGTGACAGTAACAGGGGAGCAGCTCGTCATTGTACTGGAAGTAGAGGAAGCTGTGCGTCATGCCTAAAGTCTAACAGGACTGTTTTATCCACACATTCTTCACATTCTTATTTTTTTTTCTCCCTTAACTGCTCAGCACCAGCTTTGCCTTCTGTGGCATGTTTTCTATAGGCTGTATTTTTTTTTGTCCGCATTTCAACCGTTTATTTAGCCTATGTTTGATGCATGTGTGACTGATTGACTAGTCGCTCATACTAAACCGCCTCGGCTATTCTGAAATCGCCGGCGAAAAGTGAGGGGGACAAAACATAGATTTTGAAATGTTTAATGGCTCCTACGCGTATGCTACTAATGTAGTTTACATCTATCTATATACATCACATATATATTGATAGATGTACACTGTGGCTAAGGTTTTGATGACAATGATTGAAAATGCACATGGTCGCACATTTTCTGTACTGCATATATAACTTTCACCAGTACATAAGTTATACATTGCAAGAGATTGGACAGAATTGACAATTGCGCTTTTACTGTTTGTACTGTAATTTGTTGACAGATTGTGATACAGAAAAGAAAAAGACACAAATGTTTTCATCTCTGCAACAGGTGCAGGTAATGTTCTCATATATTTTCATCAATTCAGGAGACATTTACAAAAAAATCTACATACGTGTGTGTGTGTGTGTGTGTGTGTATGTGTGTACACACATACATCTGCTGGTGATTTTCATTATTTACTGCTCACTGTGTATAGTTACTGTTTACTGGTATTGGGCGTATTGGGTGAATGGTCTGAGGCTGTTTTGCTATTGTCTATTTTTATTTTGTTTATGGTCTGTGCGAAACAACATCAGCTGAATGACAACGAAGTTTTTCTTTATTTTCTGTAACTTTGATTTTGACATTGTGTTCAACCATTTTGCATGTAGTGACTTATGCAATGAACTTATGCCTTGATGTTTTCAGGGGTAAGACTACTCAGTAGAGAACCGGTACAATACATTGTGATCAACAATATTACAAATTGATTATGTAGGAAACAGCAGACAATTGTACATAATTATTTGCATCAATTTGTCAAAGCATTTGCAATTTGTTCAAAATAATGAGAAATTGCTTTTCTGATGTGCACAAGTGACAAGATGATAATGAGAATTTCAGTTCTGATCCGAGAAGCAACTGAGAAAAACTGTAAGGTAACAAATACATTTTTTTTCAATTGCTTAAACACTATAACCAGGCTTTTTTCAAAAAGCATATATAGATATATAGAGATTAATGGCAATAATGCAAGCTGTCAATATTTTAGAGCATCCCAAAATATCACAAATCATGCTTTTAGGGGAGTTGATGTCTTATTAAGGGGAGCTATTCTATTCTGTAGTCTATTCTCCATCTTCTGTCACTGGAAATACTCCCTTTCAGCCACACTAATAAATACATTCTGTTTTCAAAAGTCATTAGAAATGAGCTTTTAATTGCTTTACTTTAAAAAGACATCGGGGGGGGGGGCATGCCCCCGAACCCTCCTAGCATTTTC